CGGGACGCGAACTACTCGGTCTACTTGCAGAAGCTCATCGACGCGTCCACAATGAAGCACAACTCCGTCGAGAACCGCTGGCGCTTTCATGAGACCATGATGGCTGAGGCCGCCCGCGTGGTCAGGGGCGACTGGGTCCGCATTAGCACTGGTGACGCTGCGAAGCCTGGCTATCTCGACGGCAGGGTCATTACCGTGCGCTCCATCTCGAGGGCGATCTGGCGCCGAGACGTCAAACTCGCACGGCGCCTTCATGCCGCCACGGACTTGGGCAAGCGCTTCCTCGACATCTCCGCGCCCGCCATCGAGCTCGCGGAAAACGTCAGCTTCGCGACCATGTCGGCCGCCCTGCATCGCGATTTCGAGGCTCGCCAGCGTTTCTGGCGCAGCAGGCAGCGAGGCTCCCCCGGGGCCATCCCGACGCCCTGCCCCCCGAGAAACATCGGAAGGCTTTGCGGGCCTCCCAGAAACGCGCTCTCTTGTGGGCCCCTTGGAAGCGTCGGCTCGTCCTTCAAGGGATCAAGGTCACGGGCCTTGCAGGCCCAGCAGCTGTCGCCAGAGGGTGCGGCCCAATGGCGGAAGCCCTCCGCTTCCACTGGCAGCCCGTATTCGCGGCCAAGAAGGTCGACGTCGCTGCGGTGCGCGAGCGCATCGAGGCGCGCATGCCGCAGGGCGACTCGATTGACGTGATTGCCCCCGCCAAGAACCAGCTGAAGGCCTTCCTGACGCGTGCCTCGCCTTCTGCACCTGGCCCCGATTGCCTCCCGTGCAACGCTTGGACTGCCCGCGACCACTCGCTGGGTATTCTCGAGGTCCGCGCCCGCTTCCTCTGCTCGGGCGATTCTATCCCACGCGACCTGAACGACCCCGACTTTGCCTTCCTGCCGAAGGGTGACAACCTTCTGGGTGAGCTGACCACGGATCGCCGCCCCGAGGACACCCGCCCGCTCTCACTGAAGAACGCGGACATCAAGGCTATCGCAGGAGCAGCGAACAACTTGATCAAGCAGCATGTCGCTGAATGCACACATTCAGCTCAGCAGGGTTTCGTGGCTGGAAGGAGCTTCGCACAGCACATCGTGCGCCTGGATGCCGAGATGCGCCGCGTCGCCCTCCTCGAGAACGCGATGCAGGCGCACCCAGTCTTCATCAGCTTCGACTTCGCCGCCGCGTTCCCGTCCCTGAGCAGAACCTGGCTCTTCAAGGCGCCCCACCGCTTCGGCGTGCCTGCAGGTTTCATGAACCTCTTCCGCGCCCTGTACCACGCGCCCACGTCCTCAGTCAAGGTGGGCGGCGTCCGTCACGAGATGCTTGCGATTGAGTCGGGGGTTGCGCAAGGCTGCCCTGCTGGTGGATCAGCATGGGCGATCGCAATGGACCCGATCATCCGCCACATCGCCCTCATCACCGCCCACGTGGATCCTGGCTGCGACCCGCGCTCCAATTACCTGGGGGCCTGCGCCGATGACATTGGCATCCTGTGCGGCTCCTTCGGCATCGTGAGCAGAGTGGATGAGCCCTTTGATGCGGCCGCCCGCCTCGCACTGTTGTCGCTGAAGCCTCGCAGGTGTGTTGTCGTCCCTCTCTGGGATGCTGCCACGCCTGCCACCATCGCCCAAACTCAGGCCCTGCTTTCGGAGTTTTCTCCCGCCTGGTCTGGTATCTCGGTTTCAGGGCGTGCCGCATGTCTTGGGGCCTTCCTTGGACCTGCAGCCTCGCTGGCTGATGAGCGGCGCGCCCCTGGGCAAAAATGGTGGCAGCGGACGAACTTGCCTAATTTAGTGCAGCCTGGCAGTGATGCCACCGTGAGGCTCCATAACACGTCGGTGCTCTCGACGCTTAGCTACGTTGCCCAATTCTATCCGGTGCCCACCTCTATCGCACAGAGGGAGCACTACATTTTTCATCAGATGCCGAGTTTGCCACCGAACACGTTCCGCAAAGTTGACTTTTTAGCGATGGCAGACTGGTCTCCGCCACCTGTCCTGCGCTCAATGCAAGTTATGTCAGTATGGGCCGCCGCTCGTGCCGCCAGCCTCGCTCTACTCACCGCATGGGAGCCGCGCTTTGAGCAGCTCCGAGACACTGTGTGGCTAGAAAGCACGGTGCATAACCTCCATCGCTGGATCGCGGGCTTGTGGTCGCCCCCATTCTGGACCCAGCCGCGAGCGATTGTACAATGCTGCGATCAGCTCCGTTCCGCATCGCGCGCCTCTGTCTTCTCGCCGACGATGCTGCGAGCTGCCCGCGCAGCCGCGTAGGAAGAGATGCGCGCTGCCCGTGCAGCAGACCCACCACGCCGTGCGCATTTTCAGCGCGCGTTCGCAGTTCGCTGCGCCAGTCTGCATTCGCATCACCGTTTCTGGTCACGCTCGAGAAGCGATTGGCCTCGTGGGGCCATCCCCTAGGCACCGACATGTTGGAGGAGCGCTGGAAGGTGCTCGCTGACGTACTCGGTTCAGTGAAACCCAGCTGGCGCTGGGCTACGTTCAAGACACTGGCGGCGGGCTGGACAACCTCGTGCCGCATGCGCGTGCTGGCTCCTCGGGGCTGCATGTTTGGCTGCCAGGACATGCTTGGCTCATTCCCCCACTACCTCGCCTGTCCTCGTCTCTTGCGCCTCCTTTCGTTCCCTGACCCACCCCCTCTTCTCAACGCTGTAACACGATGGGGCTTGGGCCCCTCGGCTGCATATCCCCCAGCGCCCTGCGACCTCTCGCTTCGCGAGACAGTTCGCAGGATCGCGCTGGCTTTCCATGTTTACAACAATATGCGCGCGGCTGCTCTCGTGTCAGAAGCCGCAGCGCTGGCAGCTGCCCGCGCTCTGGTGCAGCGCTAAATCAATAGCGGGATGGGGTGGGATTATGGTCAGGGAGGGACTCTCGCGCAGCTGCTTGTCATTATGCTCGGTAGCGCGCTTCGGAACAGACCCGCGCCCCCAAGGAGCCCGCGCTCCTCTTCCATCCCTTCACCATGCAAATATTCCCTCCATGTCGCACCGGGGCGATGGATGATGGTGACGGCGGCGTCGGGAATTACGACTGTGATGATGTTGCTGTCGGTGGTGGCGATGGTGGTCAAGGCGAGGACAGCGGCAATGTAGGTTCTGGAGGCTACCCCGGGATGGATCTGTTCTGGATGAATCTGACATTTAGTATCATTTAACTGACAGGCGAAGTATTCGGTTCTTTTCCAGATGCGTTCTGACCTGAACGTTTGATTTTAATATCAGGTTGAACCTCGGTGCGAGTTCCAGATTGAATTTGCGGCTACTGTGCCGAACTATTTGCTGGGCGGAGTTTGGAGCACGGGCTACTTCCTAATTGTCACCCGTATTAGCAGTGCGATTTCCAGCAGGCTCCGCTAATGTAGGCGTGGAAATCTGGCATTCGTGACGTCGCTAAGCAGAGGCGCGGTTTGTTGTTTAATTCTGGCTTGCCCCTCGCAGGTTCAATCTCGCGAAGAATAGCGGCAGCAATTCGCGGGTTATTCTGGGGAGCTCCCGACCAACATGTTGTTGGGTCTTCGTTTTGTAGAGACAGCGCCCCGCGTCCCAGCTTTCCTCCTCCTCCTCCTCCCCTCCTCCCTCCTCCCTCCCTCCTCTATCTCCCGTGGCCCCATCCCATCACCTACAGCGCGTCGTTCATATCTCCCCCCCCGCCCACGCGCAGCGTTTCAGTGCGCCCCACCTAGTGGGCTGGCCCCACCCAGTGCAGCGTTTCGTGGCCCGAGGGCTCCACCGGAGGCCAAATGCTACCGCGGGCGCGCGCGCGCCCCCTTCCCCTCCCCCCCGCACCCACGCAGCGCGTCGTGGGCCCATAGGGAGCACCACCGAAGATCCCAGCGCTATCGCCCGCATGCGCCCCCCCCCCCCCGCCCAGTGCAGCGTCTCGTGGCCCCATAAGGGGTTCCACTGAAAATGCCAAATTCTACCGCCCGCGCGCGCCCCCCCCCTACCCAGTACAGCGTTCGTGGCCCCATGAGGAGCACGCCGAATATCCAGCGCTGCCGCCCGCATGCGCCCCCCCCCCCCCCCCCCGCCCAGTGCAGCGCTTCCGTGGTCCTAGGGAGCTCCACCGAAGGTCCCCGCGCTACCGCCCGCGCGCGCCCCCCCCCCCCCCATCCCCCCTGGCACAGCGCTCCGTGGCCCCATAGGGAGCTCCACCGAAGGCCCAAGTGCTACCGCCCGCGCGCGCCTCCCCAACACAGTGCAGCCAGCGTTTCGTGGCCCCGTAGCGCGCTCCACCGAAGATCCTGGCGCTACCGCCCGCGTGCGTTCCCTCCGCCCAGTGCAGCGTCTCGTGGCCGCGTAAGGAGTTCCACCGAAGGTCCAAGTGCTACCGCCCGCATGCCCCCCCCCCCTCCCCCCGCGCCCGCGCGCGCGCCCGCCCACGCGCGCGCGCACGCACACACGCGCACACCCACACCCACGCACCCACGCACCCACACACCCACACACCCACGCACCCACACACCGACACCCACACTCACACCCACACCCACATCCTTGTTTCTTCTTTTCCTTCTTCTTCTTCTTCTTCTTATTATTCTTATTATATACCCCCACCTACGTCGTATTCCGGTCGATAGCAACCCAATCCGGGACCTACCATCCAGATTGTTAAAACATCAATACAGCATTGCAGTTGTTTTTCTCAGTATCGTCTTTCTTGTCGTCGACGATGCGAAAAGTGTGGCAGGAATGAGACGCGGCGCACATCGCGCGCGGCAGTCGATCTGGGCCCGCCCACCCTGACCGTAAATCAATACGAAGTCGTCGTTGTTTCCTCTCAGCATGGCCTGCCTTGTCGCCGACGGTGCGAAGTATGTGGCAGGAGTGGGACGCGGCGCGCATCGCGCGTGGACGTCCATGCGGGCTGCGGGCCCTCCCATCCTGACTAGTGCTACTAGTACCATTGGTACGACTACTACTACTACTCCTGCTACTACTTGGTCTGCAAATTGTACTACCAATGGCAATACGAATCGTTTAGCAGTAGCATGTGGTAGCACTCAAAGCCCGCCAGCAGGACCACGAGGAATGCCTGCACCCAGGCGACGCCGCCGACGGCGTCGTAGATGCCCTGCCTCCCGGGGGCCCGCGCCGGCCGCAGCGCGCGTGGGGCGTGCCGTGGGGTGGGGTCTCGCTGTAGTTGCCGTTCCGGCCAGGGCGCCGGCCTGCGGGCGGCGGCGTGCGTCTGCCGCGGGCCGCCGCCAGCGCCGCCGAGGCGGCCGTGCAGGCCGGCGCGCGCCCCCGTGGGGGCCGGGCCGGGCGTGCCAGGAGGACCGCGCAGGCGAGCAGCACCGGGGGCCAGCCTCCGGCTCCGGGGCTGTCGGGCTGCGGGTGCCGCCCTCGCCTCCACCTCCTCCTCTTCCTCCTCCTCCAGCAGCAGGATGGGTGTGCCTCCTCCTCTGCCTCCTCCTCTCCAGCCTCCTCTGCCTCCTCTGCCTCCTCCTCCTCTGCCTCCTCCTCTGCCTCCTCTGCCTCCTCCTCCTCCTCTGCCTCCTCATCAGCGCGCTCCTCGGAGATACTGCACGATCGGGCCATCGTCCGTGTGGAGCACACCGAACCGCACGCCAGGGACGGTGACGGCCTGGACGGCCGCGAGGGCATCCATGAAGGCCGGCTGCACCCGCAACGAATACACGATGATGAATACCCAGGGCCTGTCGGCCATCGGGTCCTCGTGGCGCGGCTTGAAGCGGAAGAGGGACGCGTCGACCTCTGCAGCCGGCGTCGCGGCGAGGTCGGTGGCGGCCTGCTTGCCCGGGTCGGTCTCCTGCAGTTTGCCCGCCGTCCACTCGCATATCGCCTTGAAGAGCATGCTGCGCTGGCTGCCCATGGGATGCGGGGGCAAGGGGCCGTCGGCTGGCTGCTGCTCCTTGCGGTCCTTGTCGGCCTGGCGCCAGGCGCTCCGCAGCTCCCACACCTCGTCGATGAGCTCCTCGTCCTTGAGCACCACCAAAGCGCCGACGCGGTCGGTGTGCATGTTGAGCTCCCGCTCGTGGCTGATGCCGAGGGCGACCAGCGCTTCCACGACCTCCTCCATGGGGCCGGGGGGCCCGCGGCCGCGGCCGGCGCCTCGCCCCTTGCCGCCGTGCCCCTTGCCCTTGCCGCCGCCTGCGCCCTGGCCGCCGCCGCCGCCTCCTCGCCTGCGGCCGCCCTTGGCGCCGCCCTTGCCGGCTGGCCGGGCCGCGCCGCCGCCGGGGGCAGCGGGGGCGGGGGCAGCAGCGGGAGCGCCGCCAGCAGCGCCAGCAGCGGCAGCAGCCGCCCGGGGCGCAGCGGGGGCCGGCAGGGCCAGCCGCCCGGCGGGGGCGGGCGCAGCGGGGTCTGGCAGGGCCAGCTGCCCGGCGGCCTGCGGCATGGCGGCATCTCCTGCCGCCGCGGCCGCGGCCGGCGCGGGCGCCTCCCGCGGCAAGCCTCGGGGCTGCACGCGCCGGCGCGCCGGCACCTCCCCGCGAACCTGCTCCGCGTCCCCGGCCCGCTGGCGGCGCGCCGCCACGGCCGCGCGCGCAGCTGCGAGCCCGTCCGCGGCCCCGGCTCCCCCGCCAGTTGCAGCCATGAACGGCCGCCCCTGCCGGTCCGACCCTGGGGAGACCAGCTGCGGCACGGCGGAGATCGCATTGCACCTTGTGTGCAGCGACGGCACGGAGGGAGGGCCAGGGATGTGCGCAGGAAGGGCACGCGTACGACCAGGTCTGCCGTTCTGCGTCCGTGTTTTTCCTGGCCACGTGCATGACCGCGCCGAGCCACATTCGGAAGGGAGCTGCACGACAATATGCCCAGGGACTGTTGTGCTTACCGCCACAGAATGCGCACCCGGAGCCGTCTTTCAGGTAGGGCGCAAGCTCGTCGCCAGTGGCGTAAGCATGGGGGCCTCCTCTTCCTCCTCCCTCCTCTATGCCGCCTCCCTCGCCCTCGATGCCGCCTCCCTCGCCACCTCCTCTTCCTCCTCCTCCTCTACCTCCTCCTCCTCCTCTGCCTCCTCCTGCTGCTGCCGCCGGAGCGACAAGGTGGGTGGCGTGGCGCTCCTGCCGCCTGCGTGCCTTGTTCCTGGGCTCAAGCCCCAGGCGCCGTGCGCCCCAGGCGCCCCGGCCTTCAGCTCCGCCAGCGTAGGCGTCGTCCACGTGAGGGGCCGGCGGCGGAGCAGGCGGCGCCGCGGGAGGCGGCTGCTTGCCCCGGAGGCGCCGGCGGGCGGGCGCCGCAGGAGCGGGCGGCGGGGGTGGCTGCTGCTGTTGCGACTTGCGGCGGTCTGGGCGAATCCGCATGCCGTCCTGCTGTCCGTCGACAAAACGTGGCGCGAGCCGGCCAGCCGGCGGCGGGGTGCCGTCGCAGGTCCGAAGATGATTGCCCAGTTTCGCGCACCAGACTCCGCAGCGGGGGCAGCGTTGCTCGCCGGTGCGGGGGCATCTCTGCGCGCCCTGCAATTCGGCTCTGTAGGCGGTGGCGCTCTCAGAGTGTCTGTTGGTCCAAGTGTCGGCGTCACACCGCTGGCGCTCGTGCCACACCAAGGTGTCGGAGAGGCGTTTCCACTCACGCCGGTCGCGTGCGACCTCCATCCAGCGCACGGGCCATTCCTCCTCTGGCATGCCTGTGAGGCCCATGACGCTGACGATCCGCTTCCAGTAAGTGTCCCTGAGCGTGGGGCAACGGGAAGCCAGGGACCCGGCACCCTCCTGAGCCTCCGGGGGCGGAGCGAGCCACAGGCCGAGCATGTGCTGCTCGAGGCGATCGTTGGGGTAGCGGGCGAGGTGTCCCAGATACCCTAGCTGCCGTTTCAGCACCTGCACCGGGACGGCGTCGATCCCGGCCTCGATCCTCAGGTCTGTACTGGTGCACACGCCCTCCATGGCGCGGGTGCCGCCTCTACGTCGATCAAAGGTGATGCCGCGGATGACCCGGTTCAGGAAAACCTGGTAGGCCTTCAGTGACGCAGGGGAGAATGGGCGAACTTCGGAGGCGTACAGCAGGGAGGCCACGACCGTGGCCTGCACCACCGCGCCGCGGAGCCGGCTGCTGAGCCGCAGTCTGGGCAGCTGCTTGTGCAGGCGTCGCCACACGAGCCGGGCGGCGTGGATGCGCTTGGTGTCGTCCTGCTCCGTGCCGCCGTCGGTGTCGAACCACGCCCCCAGCAGCCGTACCGCCATGAGGAAGCCAGGAGGGGCCGCCTCCGTCTTGGCAGCCGCGCAGAGCCGCTCGGTCTTCCCCGGGTGTACCGTCTCGCCAAATCTCGCCATAATCCTGATGACCATGTCCTCGACAGCGCGAGAGTGCTTCTGCCTCGTAAGCACGGTAGTGTCGTCGGCGAAAGCCAGCAAGTGCACGATGAAGGCGTCGAGGTCGGCCTCGTCCGGCTGCTCCGTGGCGCGCGGCAGAGGCCGGGCGGGGGTGTGATGCAAGTTCACTCGCTGGTCCGCCTGCAGCTCCTCGCGCAGCCGCCACAGCACGATGTTATGGAACACCGTGTAGAGGATACCGCTGGTGGGGCAGCCCTCGCGGAGCCCGCGGCGCAGCTCGTAAGTGGAGGAGTCCCCGGCGCTGGTCCTGACCACGTAGAACGTCTGCTCGTGCACGCCTTGGAGCACGTTGAGCATGGCCGGCGGCACGCCCAGGCGAGTGAGCACCCTCCAGCAGAGAGCCCTGGGCACGTTCGGGAACGCCTTCTTCACGTCCACCAGGACAGCGGCAAGAGAATCGTCGGATACCATCTGGCCCGTCCGAGCGCTCTCCTCGAACAGGATACGCATGATCAGCACGGCGTCCCGCGTGGAGCGGTACTTGCGGTTGCCCCACTGCTCCCGGACGTGGAGGCCCGAGGCTTCGGCCCACTGGGATACCCTGGTGGCAGCAAGCTTGGCGACGATCCTGGAAAGCATACTGAGCAGGCAGATGCCCCTGTAATTATCGAGGTCGGAGCGAGACCCCTTGTTCTTGAACAAGAGGATGACGACTGCGCGGAGCGGCTCTTGCCCCAGAACCTCGACCCAGTGCTCGTGCGGAGTGTCCCAGAAGAGGCGGACGAGGCGGCAGACCTCCGAAACCACAGGCGCTCCGGCCGCCTTGATCATGCCGATCGTGACCTCGTCGTCCCCCGGGGCGCTGTCGCGAAGCCCACGGATGGCGCGATCGATCTCCGCGTCTCGCGGGGGCCGGCCCAACGTCTCTGCATGCGCGTGCCCCTGCTGCCAGAAAGCCTCCGGGAGGTCGTCGAGCACCTCCTCCGGCACTGGGTTGGGGTCGCCGCCAATATTGAGGAAGTGGTCCTTGCCCTCCTCGGGAGTGTACTCCTCGCGGCCGGTCGTGTTGCTGTCGGAGAGCCACACGCCGAGGTCCTTCATGCCGCGGTAGAAGGCCCCCGTGTCGTGGCAGGAGGCGGCGTGTTCAAGGTCGGTCACCACGCCGTGCACGATCTGGCGCCAGAGGCTCCGTAGGTCCCTCCGGTGCTGGGCGCGGAGGCGGCGATGCTCCTTCCGAGCCTCCTCCTCGGCGCCGGTGCCGATGGCCCGCCGCACAGCCTCCCAGCTGCGCTGTTGTGCTCGGCGGTGCGCCTGCTCGGTGGGTCGCAGCCTCTGTAGCACGGGCACGTCGTCACGCCGTGGGGCACGACCCAGAACCTCCTCTGCAGCGGTGCGCATGGCGGCGGCGAGCTCGCCCCACGCCGGCCTGTCGGGCTCCCCGAGGGCGCGGCCCGTGGCCTCGCCGAACTCGGCGCGCAGAGCGGCTGCCTCGGGAGACGGACCCCTCATCAAGTCGTAGCGGAGGCGCCCGGCTGGTCTCGGCTCCAGTGTGAAGCCGTTCGCGAGCTCTCGCACATCGCGGCGCCCCTGGGGCTTGCCAGGAGGCCAGTACGACACAAACTTGGCGAAGTGGTCGCCGAACGGCATGGCGAAGGTCCGCAGCCGCTTCCACCGCTTCGCAGACACCGGGCCGTCGGTGATGAAGTAATCATTCTCGTGCCACCGGCCTTGCTCGATGCCGAGCGATCGCCACGTGGCCCTCTGACGACAAG